AAGCAGGAAACGGGAAAAATTTTTATAGCAAATTTCTATGATAAAGGCCTCATTTCTCAAATATATGGGGAACTGAGTCAAATGCATAAATATATGAGTCATTAACTGATAAATAGTCAAAGGAAATGAACAGGGAATTTTCCGAAGAAATCAAAGCTATCCATAATCACATGAAAAAACACATTAAATCACTACTGACTAGAAAAATTCAAATTAAATAACTCTGATGTACCATTTTATACCTATCAGACTAGCTAACAAGACAGAGAAGGAAAATGACAAATGGTGGAGATGTGAAAAAACTGGGATACTAATGCACTGGTGGTGGAGTTGTAAACTGGTCCAACCATTCTGGAGAACAATTTGGAACTATGTTCAAAGAGTTATAAAACTGTGCCTAATCTTTGACCCAGTCAGTACTAGGTCTACATCCCAAAGAGATCAAAGGAAAAAAGAAAAGGCCTTATATATGTTCAAAAATATTTACAGCAGCTCTTTTTGTAGTAGTAAAGAATTAGAAACTGAAGGGATGCCCATCAATTGGAGAATGGCTGAACAAGTTCTGGTATATAATTGTGATGGAATACTATTGTGCTATGAGAAATGATAAACAGAATGGTTTCAAAAAAACCTGAGAAGACTTATATGAACTGATACTGAGTGAAGTAAGCAAAACCAGGAAAACACTGAACACAGTAAAAGCAATAGTGTACAATGATCAACTGTGAATGACTTAGCTATTCTTAGCAATCCAATGATCCAAGACAATTCCAAAAGACTTATGATGAAAAATGCCAGCCACCTTCAGAGAGAGAACTGATGAAATATGAGTGCAGACTGAAGCATAATTTTTTACCCACCCCACCCCTTTTTGGCAATTTGGCTAATATAGAAATATGTTTTGCATGATTTCATAAATATAATTGATAGCACATTTTTTGCCTTCTAAATGGGTGAAATTAAAAAAAAAAAGTTAAAAATAAATGAAAGAGGCTGCCAGCTGGCACAGGGGATAGAGTACCGGCCCTGAAGTCAGGAAGATTCAAGTTAAAAATCTACATTTACTAACTGTGTGACCCTGGCCAAATCACTTAACCCTGATTACCTCTAATAAATAAGTGAATCAGTGAATAATAATTTAAAAAAAAAAAGAATGCTTGGCAGGCTTTTATTTCATTAAAGATCCATTTTTCTCCCTGTCACATTACATTCAGTTTTACTGCGTAAGTTATTCTTGGCTGTAAGCCTATATTCTTTTCCTTCAAGAATATTTTATTCCAAGTTCTTTTCTCCTTCATGGTGGTGGTTGCTGAGTCACGTGTTATTCTAACTGTGAATCCTTGGTACTTAAATTCTTTAACTTTGAAACTCTGGATTTGGAATTTTCATTTCAAGATTTCTTTCAGGAAATAACTAGTAGATCCTTTCTCTGTCTACTTCACTCTCTGGTTGTAAAAGAATTTGGTAATTTTCTTTTAAGATTTTTCGAAATATCATGTCTAAGTTCTTTTTATGGTCATGGTACTCAGAGACCTTAATGATTACAAATTTTTTTCCTCCTCAATCAGTTTTTCAGGTAAGTTTTTTTTGCTATGAAATAGCTTGCATTTCCCCCCCCCCCCAGTCTTTTGGAACTTTGTTTTAATATTTCTTGTTGTTTGAGTCCTTGGCTTCTATTTGTTCCACTCTAATTTTCTGGGAATTTGTTGCTTGGACAAAGTTTTGCACTTCTTTGGCCAAGATGTTAGTTCCCCTTCCAATGACTTCTTCCATTGCTTTAATTTCTTTTCCAATTTTTTCCTAAAGCTCTTTTATTCCATTTATAAATACATTTTTAAAGAAATCTTGCTTCAGCTCTTCTAGAAATTCTTGTTGAGTTTGTGCTCAAATTGTGGGGTTTTTTTTTGAGACTTTGCTTGTAAATGTTTCAGAGTAATTCTTTTTTTGTGTTTGTATCTTGAGTATCCCTGTAACCATCATAATTCATTATATGGGGTTCTTTTTGTTTACTCATTGTTCCAGTCTACTTCACAACCTCAGATGTGATGTTGGGGCTGGGCTCTGCTACACTTATGGAGGAAGGGTCTGGGTTGGTTCTGTTGCTGTTTTCTTGGGGTATTGAGGTTTGTGTCATTCTAGGACCTAGGGGACGGACTGAGGACCTACAAACCTTCAGTACACTCCAAATTGGGCTGATCTTGGACAAAGTCTGATCACTGTCTACCTTGTCTTAGTTCTGCAAGTTCATGACCTGAATTAGGGTCTAAGAAAGAGTATTCTGTTGTTGGACTCAGCCCTTTAAGCCAGCTGGAAAGCTCTATTGGTTCAGACTAACAGAACTGTAGGCTCCTCTCCTGTTATTAATTCCTGCCTTGCTCACCCCTGTACAAGCTGGGATAGATGCAAGAACTGAGATTTTACTATGATTCTAGGGTCTGAGGTACATTGTTGACAACCTGTTCCTGAAGTTCATCCTTTCTTGGTACACTGGCCAGGGCCTCTCTACCCAAGAATGCCACAACCATGTACAAGTTTCCTTCTCACTCTGTTCTGAATCTGTGAACCTGCAACTGGGTAGTGGGAAGAAAGCTGCCAGTTGGCACTTGTCCATGTCAAGGTGCCTATTATGGGTCTGGGAAGTCTTCTTGCCCTGGTGCACTGCCTCTCCCTGGAAAATGGAGTATTCCATTATGTAGCATTCTCCTAGCTCTACTAATTCTTAGTGTTGAAAAACCTCTATGCCTGTTCTCCTTAAGCTGAGCTAGGGCAGACAAATGACTTGCTGTGATTTTTTAAAAAAAATTTCCCCACTGGCCTGGTTAATTTTCTTTTCTTTCTTTCTTTCTTTTTTTTTTTTTTGGTGAGGCAATTAGGGTTAAAGTGACTTGCCCAGAAGTCATACAGCTAGTGAGTGTTATGTGTCTGAGGCCAGATTTGAACTCAGGTCCTCCTGACTCCAGGGCCAGTGCTCTACCCACTGCTCCACCTAGATGCCCCTCTGGTTCATTTTCTAGATCTATTTGGAAGAGTTTTGTGGATGGGAGTTTGACAAATTCTCCATCTTGATTCTGTCCAGATCACATAACTTTCATAGCTACAGATACAAGATATAACCAAACTAGGGATAGAGACAAATACAAAAAATTTAAAATCAAACAAAACAAAACACATTACATTAAACTGAAAACCTTTAATACCAACAAAATTAATGTGCCTAGAAAAAGAAGGGAAGAAGTAGCTGAATGAAAAAAAAATCTTTGTATCAAATTTCTCTGATAAAGGTTCAGTATCCAAGATAATTCTCTCTCTCTCTCTCTCTCTCTCTCTCTCTCACTCTCTCTCTCACTCACACACATACACACACACACACACACACACACACACACACACACTCTCACACACACGAGACCAATATATGTGATCAAAATATATATGTGATCAAAAGACATGAACAAAGTTCTCAAAAGAAGAATTGAAAACTATTAACAACCATATGAGAAAAATGCTTCAAATCACTAATCATAAGTGAAATGCAAGTCAAAACAACTCTGAAGTTTCTCCTCAGACCCTAAAAAACAAAGATAACAAAAGATGTAAATAGTCAGTATTGGAGGGGTTGTAGGAAGACAGGCACACCAGTGCATTGTTCGTGGAGCTATGAATCAGCAGGATCATTCTGGAAAGCAATCTGGAATTACGCAAATACAGTGACTAAATGCCCATATCCTTTCATCCAATGATTCCATTACTAGGATTATACCTAAAGGCCATTTATAAGTTCCCAAGTACACAAAAATATTAATAGCAACACTTTTTGTGGTAGCAAAAAACTAGAAACAAAACTAGTCCCATTGCCCATAAACTGGGCAGAGATGGGAGAGGTCCACAAATGATGTACACTGCATATATTTTCTTACTTTTATTCTATTTCTTCTTTTTCTTTATCTTTAAAAAAAATATTATTTGTTATATGGGATGAGGAAAAATACTGAGGGGAAATTGTGCCCTGAGAAGAGGAAGAATACTGGGGGAAATTGTGCTAATATAAAAAACATACTTTTTTAAAAATAAGGACTAACATGAAAAAATGCTCTAAATCACTACTGATTAGAGAAATGCAAATCAAAACAACTCTGAGGTATGACACCACACCTATCAGATTGGCTAACATGACAAAACAGGAAAATGATAAATTCTGGAGAAGATGTGGGAAAACTGGAACACTAATGCATTGTTGGTGGAGTTGTGAACTTATTCAGCCATTGTGGAGAGCAATTTGGAACTATGCCCAAAGGGCTATAAAACTGTGCATACCTTTGACCCAGCAATACCACTTCTAGGTCTGTATTGCAAAGTAATCATAAAAAAGGGAAAAAGACCCTACACGCACAAAAAATTTTAAGCAGCTCTTTTTGTGCTGGCCAAGAATTAGAAATTGAGGGGATGCCTATCCACTGGGGAATGGTTGTGGTATGTGAATATAATGGAATGTTATTGTTCCATAAGAAATGATAAGCAAGCAGATTTCAGAAAAACCTGGAAAGATTTACATGAACTGATGCTGAGTGAAGTGAGTAGAATGAGGAGAACATTGTACACAGTAACAGCCACAATGAGTGATGACTAACTTTGAGAGACTTAGCTCTTCTCAGCAATGCAAGGATCTAAGACAATTTCAAAAGATTCATGATGGAAAATGCTATCCACACCCAGAGAAAGAACTATGGAGTCTGAACGCAGATGAAAGCATACTGTTTTGCTTTTTGTTTTGTTTCTTCTTTCTCGTGGTTCCTCCCATTGGTTCTAACTCTTCTTTACAACATGACAAATGTGAAAATATGTTTAATATGAATGTATATGTAGAGCCTATATCAGATTGGACACTGTCCTGGGGAGGGGGAAAGGGAAGAAAATTTAGAACTCAAAAGCTTATGGAAGTGAATGCTGACAACTAAAAATTAATTAAAAAAAAAAAAAGGACAAATAAGGTTCTACGTTACCTTGTCTGGCTGTTTTGTTTTCTTTTTCTTCATTCTTCTTGCATTGGTAGAATACGATGGTATCTTTTCCTCAAACAACTGTCTATTTGTTTCTATTCCAGTCTGCAACTGTGAAATATAAAAGGCTAGTTATTTTACAAAGAAAAGTAAGAACTATCATACAAATCTGAGATTTGCCAACCAAAACCAGAAAAGTTAGTAACAATATCTGACAATGAAAAAGAATCATCTACTAAAATGGATCAAAGCCATAATTATGCTAACATATTATAAACCTACAAAACAGTTATATATGTTGAGTATCTTATTCTTAGTTGACATTATTGTTTTATTATCTACTCTTTCTTACTATTTTAGTCATGGATAACTTCACCTCTGTTATTTTTAGTTGCAGTTCCTTTGATCAAACTGAGTTTTGAAATAAACACTACATTAACTCCAAACATATGTTTGAGCACTTTCTCTTTCCTATGAATACAAAAGAAATGTCTTCCTCTCTTTAAAATCCCATATAATTATAAAGACCATTAATTATGTGCATAGCAAACAGGTAGCAAGCAGGAAAAGAGGACAATGGGGGATATGAACAAATTTAGAAATTTTCCAGTAGAGCTTTCCCAAGACAACCTTTTATTTAGGCCACTGTTTGTATCAAGATTACAATCTTTGATTAATTAAGACGTTGATAAAATCATTACTCAATTATAACTGGAAGATCAGGTTGGGAGGAAAGTTCAAAAGAGCACTTGGTGACCTATCAAAGGTAGGGCTCCTTAGCTCACAAATATGAGTACAGCTGGGCTATCAGTATATTAAGGTGAGGGTACAGCCACAGAAAAACAGAATCTTAATTTCTGAAGGACAGAAGATAAGAGAAGGTGGCATGTACATGAACAGAGCTGGGATCAGGATTGGAATCAGGAAAGCCTGGTTCAAATCCTGTAAGGGCAAGTCACTTAACCTTTCACTACTCAAGGCAATTCCCTTAAGACAATCTAAGTTGCTGTCAGTGAGGGATATTTCCCACTATAATGCAATCAAAGTTTAAAAATAATTAAACTAAATTAAAAAAAAAAGAGCGATGAAATAATTCTACCAGCCAACAGGCAAATGCTCTGGCAGTGTGCTACAAGTAATATATGAGTATATATGCACTAAGTGAAAATTGGTCTTGCTGTTAGAGAAGATGAAGAGTTTAGAAGAATACTTTCCAGTGTATCAGGGAGGATGGAGTACTCCATCTGCTATACTTGCATACTATGTATCCAAGGTGCTGGGGATACATAAGCAAAAATAAAACAATTGGGGGAGAGCGTGGCACGAGAGGGGAAATGGAGAGAAGGACCTCATAAAATGAGTCAAGAGAAAACAAAGAAGAAAAAATCTAAAGAGACAGAGGAAGTCCAAACCAGGGGTAATAAGAAAAAGGATGGAAGGTGAAAGAATTGATAATGAGAAAGTCAAGGAGTTCTGCCAAGAGGCACTTAACGTTTTTTTAACTAAATTGAAGAGGGGCCTCTAAGCAGCTAGAGCTAATGCATACAAAGTTCTTCCAATAAGAATAAGCATCAGGACAATCTGAGGATAAAGCAGTGTTCTCTTTTTTCGTGGAAGGATGAAGAGGGATCCACAGACAACACTGAGATTGAGGACATTCACTACCAACTCAAGGAAGAACAAAGAGATCCCCTTCCTGGTAGGTCAAAGATACCAAGGAAGCCAAATGTTGGCTTAAAGTGCGCAATCATGAAGTGAGTTATTTTCTCCAGGTGTCATCTGGATGGTGAAAGATAATCTCCTAAAACTTAAACATCTGGGGGCTACAACACTTTTTTAATCATGCAGAAATTAACTATTAATACTGCCACAAGGAATCTGTAAAGACTCATTAAAGACCATGAAAATGAACATCAGAAACTGAAGGATTTATGGACACAGGTGGTTATTTTATTCACTCATGCAGATTTAAAGAAGGTATTTCAGAACTGAAAGTGGGATACAGGAAGTGAACAATCGGCTAAGAAGTTGGGGTTGGAAGAGAGTTAAATTTCTGGACCATAATTTGAGATATAAGAAAGCTGCATTCCTGGCCAGAAATGGTTTACATCTGAATGAGGTGAGGATAATGTATCTGAAGACTTAACATAATTTAGAGGGCTTTACAATGAAAATGATTAACTGATGCTCGAGATATTGTTAGGAACAACAAAAAAGGGTGTCTAAGCTAAGCTGGCAGCTAAGAAAAGATCAAAGAGGGGATAGTACTACTGCTTGAGATGCATGAGATTATGAAACTGTATCCTTTGTTGCTTCCATTTGCATTACTAAGAAGGATCTTCAGACTAGCAAGACCAAAATATAGCTAATGAGGAACTGAAAGTCCAGAAATAGAGTAAGAGTGCTGCCATCTAAAACTCCCTCATGAGTTAAAACCTCCAGGTCTGGATGTACTATGCCTAAGCATAAGGAAAGAAGTTGTAGGTGTAACTATAAAAAAACTGCAGAGAAACAAAGAAGTCCTTAAGAATGAAGAACAAATGTGGCAATTTTCAAAGCAAAAAGGAAGGATGGTGAAAGGACCTAAATCATCAGAATCAACTGATATGAAGCAGTAATTCAGTTTACAAAAGAGAATTAGTAAGAATGTGAGAGCTATCTTTAAGTACTTGAAGGACAGTCATGTGGAAGAGGCATTTATCTCGTTCTTTTTGGCTCCAGAAAACCAGCAGCATCAGAAGTTACAGAGACATTCCACTTCCATGTTCATGAAATCTGAAATTCCATTATCTGATCATAATCTGTTTATCAATTCCACCTCTCTCTTTCGCCTTGTATCTCCTCATCATGTTCTTAATTCTCAGTTCTCAGAACGTTCTCCAAACCCCCCACCTCTCAGTTCTTTCCAAGGCCATCACTAATATACTGGCTACATTTTCTCCTTTCTCCATTGTGATTCTGGTGAACCAATCCAACTCTACACTGTCTTCATCTCTTGACATCTTTATCCTTTTATTGAAGAGCTTGTTCTGCCCAAGCCACTGTCTTGGATAACTCTCATCATCCATTTGCCTTTGGCCCTACTCTTATGCTGTTGAACAAAACTGAAAAAAATCACAAAACTGTGCTGGTTGGGTCCATTACAAATTTATGTTACATAATCTCAACTGGGCCCTCAATCAGGCAAGGCAATTTTTTTTTTAACATCTCCCTAATCAATTCACTATCCCAACTCACTCCAGGGGTTTTTCCAAACCTTTTCATTCCTCTCTTAAACTTCCCATGGTTGTCCTTTGCCCCACACTCAGCTGAGAACCTCATACTTCACTGAAAAAAATGGAGACCATTCATTGAGACTTCTCTCTTCCCCCTCCTCTTTATTTCACTTCCAATGGCTTCTGCTACCATATTCTCCTTTATTATTGGTCTCAAATGAAGAGATAGCCCTTCTTGTCAGGGTGAAATCTTCTACATATACAAGTGATCCTATTCTATTCCATCTTTTTCAACAGATTGGCCCCATCACCCCCTATTCTTCTCAATTATCTTCAATCTTTCCCCATCTCCTGGTTAATTCCCAACTGCCTACAAATATATCCATGTCTTTCCATCCTCAAAACCCTCCCCTGATCATACATCCCTGCTAGTTACCACCTGATATCTCTCCTCTCTTTTGTGGCTAAACTTCTTTGAGAAGGTTGTCTATAATTAATGCCTCCATTTCCCTTCCTCTGATTCTCCTCTTTACTCTCTGCAGTCTTGCCTATTGTGACCTTATCATTCAACTGAAATTGCACTCTCCAAAGTTACCAAAAATCTCTTAATACAGTACATAAATGTAATGGAATATCATTGCCTTGTTGGAATCTTGAGAAAATTTGTATAAGCTGTTACAAAGTCAAGTGAGCAGGACTAGAACAATTTATACTATAATAGCAATATGGTAAAGAAAAACAACTTTGAAAGACTTAAGATCTTTGGTCATTGCAATGATCAAACATGAATCCAGATGATGATGAAGCATGCCACCTACCATCCTGACAAAAAGGTGCCATCTCAAGGTGCAGAATGACACACATTTTCAGAAAGGCCCTTAACCTAGCTAGGTGGTGCAGGATAGAGCACTGGGACTGGAATAAGAAAAATATGAATTCAAATCTGGTCACAGACTCTTAACTGTGAGATCCTGGGCAAGTCACTGAATTGCTTTTTGCTTCAGTTTCCTCAACTGTAAAATGGTGATAATAATAGCACCTACCTTATAGGGCTGTGGTGAGGATTGAATGAAATAATATTTGTAAAGCTTAACATGGTGCCTGGAACATCATAAGTGATTAATAAATGCTTGCTTCCTCCCTGTATAGGTCTGTTTCACTTACTTGTTAAAAGGGTGTTTTTTTCTTTTGTACTGTGAAGAGAATAGATGGGAAATGTTTGTGTGGGGGGCAGGAGGAGCAGCAGCAATCAACAATAGTGATGCCCTTCCAAAAAAAGCTAAGAGTGTATCTTGAAACATTTAAAAAAATGCATAGAACAGAAGGATGCATAGACAAGCAGGACTACTTTGAGAGTAACACACTGAATTTATTATATACTTTAAAAAGCTCATGGTTTCATATACAATCCTCTTTTGTGTTCTACTATACTTATGTACATGGAAATTCTTTTTTTGGTGTTAAGTTTGAAAATAAATTTTTTTTAAATGGGGTGAGGAAAAAAAAAGAAAAAAGGTAGCATACTAAGGCTTTATCTCTGAAATAGAGCAGCTCTCTAAGTGAATTATAAGTCACTGGTTCAAGCCCTTTAAGAACTCTGGCTAAATCTGGTTGCTGAGTTAGTCCAGGCTCAACCCCAGATCCAGGTGAAACCAAAAAGATGGCAAAGATTTGGCTGAGATGGATGAGACAGACTGCTCTTAGGGCCAATTTCTTAAGTGATATCCCATGTGGCCAGCTTTCTTTTGCCCAGAGATAGATTCTGGCCATGTTCTTAAAATGGCTGTCGGAAAATTACTCCATGTAAAATTTTTATGGTTGTATGAAAGAGGAAGATAACATTCTAATAACTCAGACATCTGAGGACAGCAATACCAAGAAAGGTTGGAAGATGGCCCAAGAAGAGCCCTGGAAAATTCTTTAAAAATCTGAAAATGTTGGGACAGCTAGGTGGTGCAGTGGATAGAGCTCCAGCCTTGGAGTCAGGAGGATCTGAGTTCAAATCTGGCCTCAGACACATTATACTCAGTAGCTGTGTGACCTTGACCAAGTCACTTAACCCCAGATGCCTCACCAAAAAGCAAAAAACCCCCCAAAAAACAAACAAAAAACTCCCCCAAATCTGAAAATTTTCTTAAAAAATTCTGTTACTGAAGAAGAGTTTGAAATCTCAGCAACCATTAAGTACACCCAAAAATGTTACCGAGGAAAAGCTTGAAAGACTGGTTTGATATCATGATTTCCTTTAAAGACAGTGCCTAAAAAATGATGGTTACTTTGTTACTAATTGGCATATTTAAAGGGGACAAACCCAAAACAAAGTTATATTTCAGCAAGAACTATTTATAAGTACATGCCAAAGCAGTGTTTCAGCATGGTTATTAAACTATAACTACCTCTTTATTTTTGACAACTATTGATATTATAATTAAAAAGCCAACTAATCATTCTTTATGGTCTAAATAGGCTAAAGAAGACCTGAATTTCATACTCTGCCTCTGCACGTAACATTTCCACAACAATCCACATTAGGCTGTTCTTAGTATGTTAAGATTCTAGTAATTTAATGCGATGCCCCTACTATAGGAGACATCCTAGTGTCTTTCAGATAAGTTGTAAGCACTTTTAGATTAACATGTAAAAGTTAAATATTTTATCATTTAACTATATGCATACATAATATGATTTTTTAAACAAAGAAGAGTAGAATCTACTTTTCTTTAAACTTTATATACCTGGGCTGCTTTTTCCTGCATACGTTTTCTTTCCTGTTCTTCTTCACGGAGTTTTGATTCCAGTTCCTGCATTTTTTTCTATTAATAAGTACAAAAGGATTAATAATGAAGCAAGAAATTAAATCTCCTTCCTGCTACCCACCAATATTAAAATTTTAATATACAAAAGTGATACAGATGACCCATTACTATTCAGTAGGATGTTTTTTTTTTTAGTAGTGATGGATGGGTTTGCCTTGATCCCTCTATACTCTTTCTTTATGATCAATAGCAGGCATCTGTGTAAGGCTGGATAAGGCTATGAGTGCAGTTTGTAATTAAGAAACAGACGATTTTTCTGTGTAAAGATAAATATGTGGTTGATATACAGCAAAGAACCTGAGATCCCAGTATTATTGGCAATAAGCAATTAAAAAAAAGAGAAAGTCTTATTTGTTATATTTTTTAAAGTATCAACTTTAACATGTTCTAAAAAAAAGGTTTCTCCAAATGGTCTTAGAAAGTAAATACTAAACTAAGGTTACAAAATTATTTTTCAATTTTCCTATGCCTGAGCATTTCCTTCTACTAAGATCCTTTACATCCCTTTGGCTAGAGAAGAATACTCAGTAATACCCTATTGCAAACAAGGAAATTTTATCCTAATGAATATTAAGTCATTTGCTGACCTCTGCAAGAGCCTGCATGGCAGTAAGTTTGTTATATTCCTGCTCAAGAATATCCAGTTTTTCAAGTTGGTTCTCAAAATGCATTTGACCCTGCTGCTGGTCTCTCTCTATTGAATTCTGGAAAAGAAAGTCAGAAAAACAAAAACTAAATAAAATTGAAAATGTGACCATCAAAACACAGAAAGAAATATATGTGAATGTTTTATAAAATACAATGCATGTTTATTTCCTTCTGGTTAGCAAAAGTTAACTATAAATTTCTAATTGAAAGATAATTTTAACTCTAGGTAAACAATCAGTAACAAGATGAAAAATGTGGACTTCATTTAACACATTATGGTATAATGGTGGAATTCCATCTTTATTGAAAACCTGTTCCACAGACCAAGGTTATTTCTATGTCCTGATAGGTGGGCCAGGATAAACAGTGCTATGATGTATCTTAAATCATTACTTAACAAAAAGTAGTATAGAATATGCTTTCAATAGTTTTGCTCTACCTAAGTCAATATCTCAAGGACATTTCTGTTTTGGTTATTTATTATTCTTCATACAATCATATTTGAAAGAAATATATAACCTATTTTTCATGCTAAGTTTTTAGGATGGAAAAAGAGGCTTGAAAAGATTGCTTCCAAAAGAGATTAGATCAATTCAACAATTATTTACTAAATCCCTATTATGAGGCAGGCGTTGTGCTTAAGTATTGGGGGTGATAGTCACTGGCTTCTAAGAACCTTACATTCCACTAGGAGACAACATATTTACAAGGCCAGGAAAACACGAATGTACAAAGTAAATACCAAGCAATCTGGAAGAGGCAGGATGCTAATAACTGGGGGAATTAGGAAAGGCTTTCAAGGTAGTGAGTAAAAAGAGAGAACAATTCTGTTTTTAGTTGGTTTTAAGGCAGTAAGCAAAGTGGAAGAAGGTGAACAATGGTTCTAAGATGGTCTTTAAGAATCATATTCAAAAAATACTTAAATGTATAAACACCCATCTCATATAAACAGGCATTCTTTTAAATGTAATTTGGTAGTCAGTGCGGCATAATGGAAAAAATTCTATATTTGGAATCAGGAGAATCCAGTTCCAGTTCTACTTATTCATTCTGCAAGCTAAGATAAGTAAGTGATTTTGCCTCTCTAGGCCTGAGTTTCCGGTCTGTAAAATGAGAAAACAGGCTTAGATAACCTTTCCCTTTAAAACTGTACAATAACTCTAATTGGAAACCTCATAAAACTGATTAAAACAATATTCTATCTTTTAAGTTGAAATGCTTTTATGACTTTCTAAAGCAGAGGTCAAACATGCAGCCCACAACCCACAATACTCGCTAGTGCTGCCCAAACCAGATTAAAATGTAACTGGGAAATATTTAACAAAGTAAGTAAAAATACAATAAAATATAAAAATATTACATTTAAAAATTTTTTTAAACATTTCTTTATTTTTAGTTTTTAACATTCATTTCCACAAGTTTTTGAGTTCCAGATTTTCTCCTCATCTTGCCTCTCCACTCACCCCAAGACAGCATGCCTTCTGAATACCCCTTCCTCTAATCTGCCCTCCCTTCTATCAATCCCATTCCCCTTCTCTTATCCCTTTCCCCTTCTATTTTCCTATAGGGCAGGATAGATTTCTATACCCCATTGCCTATATTTCTTACTTCTCAGTTGCATGTGAAAACAATTTTTAACATACGTTTTTAAAACTTTGGGTTCTGAATTTTCTCCCTCCTTCCTCATCCATCCTCATTGAGAAGGCAAGAAACTCAACACAGGTTATCCATGTGAGGTCATGAAAAACACTTCCATAGTAGTCATGTTGTGGAAAAACTAACTGTATTTCCACTTCATTCTATCCTGCCTCTTGTTTATTCTATTCTCTCTTTTAGCCCTGTCCCTCCTCAGAAGTGTTTGCTTCTGATTACCCCCTCTCCCAATCTGCCCTCCCTTCTATCATCCCCTGACTCTCTTAACCCCTCTACCCCCCTTATTCTCCTATAGGGTAAGACAGATTTCCATACCCAACTGAGTGTGTATGTTATTCCCTCCTTAAGCCAAATCCAATGAGAATAAAGTTCACTCATTCCTTCTCACCTTCCCCCATTTCCCCTCAACTGTAAAAGTTTTTTCTTGTCTGTTTTATGTGAGATAATTTACTCCATTCTACCTCTCCCTTTCTCCTTCTCCCAGTATAATCCTCTCTCACCCCTTAATTTTATTTTTTAGATATCACCCCTTCATCTTCAACTCACCCTGTGCCCTCTTTTTTTATATATCTATATCTATACATCTATATATATAATTTTTCCCCCTCCAACTACCCTAATACTGACAAAGGTGTCATGAATTACCAGTATCATTTTTCCATGCAGGAATGCAAACAGTTCAACTTTAAAAAGTCCTTTATGATTTCTCTTTCCTGTTTACCTTTTCATGCTTCTCTTGAGTATTGTATTTGAAAGTCAAATTTTCTATTCAGCTCTGGTCTTTTCATGAAGAATGCTTGAAAGTCTATTTCACTGAATGTGAATTTTTTCCCCTGAAGAATTATACTCAAGTGATTCTTGGTTGTGATCGTATCTCCTTTGACCTCCCAGAATGTTATATTCCAAGCGCTCCAATCCCTTAATGTAGAAGCTGCTAAATCTTGTGTTATCCTGACTGTGTTTCCACAATACTTGAATTGTTTCTTTCTGGCTGTCTGCAATATTTTCTCCTTGATCTGGGAACTCTGGAATTTAGTTACAATATTCCTAGGGGTTTTCCTTTGGGGACCTCTTTCAGGAGGTGATTGATGGATTCTTTCCATTTCTATTTTACCCTCTGGTTCTAGAATATTAGGGCACTCTTCCTTGGTAATTTCTTGAAAGACAATGTCTAGGCTCTTTTTTTGATCATGGCTTTCAGACAGTCCAATAATTTTTAAATTATCCCTCCTGGATCTATTTTCCAGTACAGTTGTTTTTCCATTGTCTTCTATTTTTTCATTCTTTTGGTTTTGTTTTACAATGTCTTGATTTCTCATAAAGTCACTAGCTTCCATTTGCTCCATTCTAATTTTTAAGGAAGTATTTTCTTCAGTGAGCTTTTGGACTTCCTCTTCCATTTGGCCAATTCTGCTTTTTAAGGCATTCTTTTCCTCACTGGCTTTTTCGACCTCTTTTGCCATTTGGGTTAGTCTATTTTTTAAGATGTTATTTTCTTCAGTATTTTTTTGGATCTCCTTTAGCAAGCTGTTGACTTGCATGATTTTCTTGCTTCACTCTCATGTCTCTTCCCAGTTTTTCCTCTACTTCTCTTACTTGCTTCTCAAAATCCTTTCTGAGCTCCTCCATGTCCTGGGACTGATTCATATTTTTCTTGGAGGCTTTGGATGTAGAGTTTTGACTTTGTCTTCTTTTTTTTTTCCTTTTTTAGGTAACTGAGGTTAAGTGACTTGCCCAGGGTCACATAGCTAGTGTCAAGTGTTTGGTCTGAGGCCGGATTTGAACTCAGGTCCTCCTGACTTCAGGGCCAGTGTTCTATTCACTGTGCCACCTAGCTGCCCCTGTTGTCTTCTTCTGGTTGTATGTTTTGATCTTCTTTGTCACCAAAGTAAGATTTTATGGTCTGACTTTTTTTGTGCTATTTGCTCATGATCCCAGCTAGTTACCTGACTATTAAACTCTTTGTTAAGGTAGAGGTCTGCTTCCAGAGTGGAGGGTGTACTAGCCCAAGCTTCAGGGGTTTTGTGTAGCCATTTTCAGAGATATTTCTAGGGACCTGTAAATTTTCAGTTCTTCCAAGGTGGTATAATCTAGGGTGAGGTGTTTACTCCTTTCCTGGTCTGTACTCTGGTCTATGAGTGACCACAAGCACTCTCTTCTGCCTTGGAACTGTGAGGAGGATTCTCTCTTCACCACTTCCACGAGCTCCACCATGCCAGTGCTCCTTCTCGCCCCAGGACCACCATCTAGGACTGTGACCCAGATCTAAGCACAGGCAAAGCAAGAGAATCCTGCCTCAGCACCGCAAAGAGATCCCTGCAATCCCCCTCTGATCAGCCACTCGATTCCCCTTCTGTCTGTGGGTCGAGAGCTCTGGAAATAGCCACTGCCCCCAACTGGGCCTCGACGGAGCTCTTCTCTCACCGTGATCTGACAAAACTTTCCTACTAGCCTTCTAAGTTGCCTTTGGTGTTTGTGGGTTGAGAAGTCTGGAAACTGCCACAGCTCCCCTTGATTCAATCCGCTGAGGACTGCTCCAGGTTCTCGAGGCCCAGAACTACACTCCTCTCCCAGCCCAGCGCAACAGATCTTTCCAGTCAACCATCCAAGTTGACTTGGGCTAGAAATTTGTTTCACTCTGTCTTTTTCTGGGTTCTGCTGCTCTAGAATTTGTTTAGAGCCATTTTTTACAGGTATTTGGAAGGGTTTGGGGAACAGCTCAAGCAAGTCACTAATTTCACTCTGCCATTTTGGCTCCCCCCACCCCCTGCAAACATTAAATTTTAAAACTAAATCAACATGAGGCCTGCAGAGATCCTTATGTCCAGTTTAGTTACATTTTGAGTTTCATACCATTGCTCTATAGAGCTATTTGAACAGCTGCTGTCACTAATCTTCCCAAAATACTGGGTTTAAAAAAATCAAATTTCTCCATTCTTCAAGTTCCTTTCAGTGGCAATGTACATTATTTAATGAATTAAATCTAACTTCCTAGAACTAATCTTATATCTATTAACTCTACCCTTGCCTTTTCAACTTCATTTCTCATCATTCTCCAACTCTCCTCCAGCGAGGCTGGTCTCTACCATGCCATACACATACTACTCCATTCCTACATTTATGGATTTGATTTGCTCATTTCATCCCTTTCTCTTGGAACACCTTCCTACTGTTAAGGTAAATTTACTACATAATTCCTACACTTTATTTGAGATCTAAAGCAAAATGTATCCCTATAAAATCTTCTTGCACAGGGCTCTAGACATAACTAGCATTTTAGATATGAGTGAAGTCTTGAATTCCACAACAGGTGATCCTTCTCTTATTCTGGATTCCTCAGTACTGTATAGATTCTATACTTGATTACTATTTATATCTTATGCTGGAATTATTCAAGTATTTCATGTTATTGTAGTGGTCTGAATATAGACTTTTACCCTCAATTCTCACCCAGATAATTGATATCTGTAGTTTTTCTTTCTTTGTGTGTCTATACAAGTATTATTTGTGTGTATGTAAATATATACATCAGAGTATGGGGAAATGATTATAGACACTCATCCATGTTTACATGTATCAGAGCAAGGACTTGAACCCAGAAATGTTTTGTAGTCTAAGGGTAACACCAGTATGAGAGAGAGAGAGAGAGAGAGAGAGAGAGAGGAGAGAGAGAGAGAGAGAGAGAGAGAGAGAGAACAAGCACATATTGCCTGGCACATAGCAGGTGACTAATAAATGCTTGTGGAATCTGAATCATGGGGAAACATATTTTAACCATTATAGAATGTCCTCTGTCTCCAAGTCAACTCTTAACAGAAGTATCCTCAATTTGAGGTGATCATTTATAGGCTCTCTTACTTTGAATAGTTACTGAATGCACATTCCCTTCTTTCAGTATATTTAGTATATTTTGCACATCACTAAACCCATTAAAACAAAAATCAAAACATCCACCACTCTGTGACACTGACCTAATTAGTTTTGTTTCAAAACATGTACTTCGCTGGAATTCGTATGAAGAGCTTTCTAAGATTATGTGGAAAAACAACTAGTTTCACCATCAACATTTATTGAGCAGGTACCTGCAGTTCCAAGGCACTATGTTAAGAACTTGGAATACAAACAAGTATAAAACAAGACATGGATTAACCACAAAGAATGTAAAATCTGTATACACACAAAAGGAAATGACAGTATTACCTAGATAAGACAGCCCACAAAGAGAGAGCTACTTTGGAAATGAAGTACTTTCTTATGACCATTCAATTTTGGGGACAATTATCCAAAACAGGCAATTCTAGTAACATGAAACTAAAATATTTTTGCACAAACAAAATCAATTCAGTTAAAAAGTATACAGTTAATGTGTGTGTGTGTGGGGAAATCTTTGTAGCAAGTTCCTTTGATAAAGGTCAGATAATCAAGACATATGGGGAACTGAAATAAATATATAAGAACAAAAACCATTCTCTAATAGATCAATGGTCAAAGACCCTGAATGGAAATAATCAAATACGAACAAGGAGTTTTCAAAAGAATTACAAAATTTATCAGCCACATGAAAAACGTTCCACGTCACAATAAGAGAATTGCAAATTTGAACAATTCTGAGATATAACCTTGAATTCATTAGATTGGCAAAAATGACAAAAAAGGAAAAGGATACTTGTTGGAGGAACTGTGGAAGAAACAGGGACACTAATGTTTTCTTGGTAGATCTGTGGTTCTGCTATCATTCTGGAAAACAATTTGGAATTCTAACCCAAAAGTCACTAAACTGTGTATAAGTTTGACACAAAAAGAATACTACCATTATAAACATATCCCCTAAAGAGGTCAAAGACAGAGGTAAAAGACTCATACGTACAAAAATATTTATAGAAACACGTATTAGAGAAGGTAGATTCAAGATAATAGAGCAAGAGTGATCAGCTCTTCCTTCATTCTTTCATATCCTTTAATGTGTCTTATAGGCAGCAGAGAAAGAAATAATAGTGTCTTAAGACTGGGAGGGCAGAGAAATGATTGTGGGACATTCTGCTAAAGAATTAGGGAAGAACAAAGTAAACTGCAAGCCCATACGATCTGTGGAATACAGAAAAGCCTCCAGATGGCTCAGGAGGAAGGAGTGAGACTAGTGACTTTGCACAGCCCTCCCTCACTTCAATAAATGTTGATGGTGAAACTAGTTGTTTTTCCACATAATCTTAGAAAGCTCTTCATACGAATTCCAGCGAAGTACATGTTTTGAAACAAAACTAATTAGGTCAGTGTCACAGAGTGGTGGATGTTTTGATTTTTGTTTTAATGGGTTTAGTGATGTGCAAAATATACTAAATATACTGAAAGAAGGGAATGTGCATTCAGTAACTATTCAAAGTAAGAGAGCCTATAAATGATCACCTCAAATTGAGGATACTTCTGTTAAGAGTTGACTTGGAGACAGAGGACATTCTATAATGGTTAAAATATGTTTCCCCATGATTCAGATTCCACAAGCATTTATTAGTCACCTGCTATGTGCCAGGCAATATGTGCTTGTTCTTTCTCTCTCTCTCTCTCATACTGTGGAATACTGTTCTAAAGAAATGGTTGCTCCTTCATTTAAACTGCACTTGTACTTTTGCTCATGCCATTCCATTTACTTAAAACGCCTTTTCTTTCCCATCCCACAACTTGAATTGACTACTTAAATTTTATTTATTTTTTTAAGGCCAAACTCAACTGCCTCTTCCCTCCATGAAGCTATTATTCCCAACAAAAAGTCCCTACCTTCCTAAAAATTCTTAGTTTTAGCATATTTTATTATAATTACTTATTTTAAGTATTCATTTACCATATTTTATTTAAATTATTTACAGATGTTTTAAGTCCCTCTTACCAGATTTTAATTTTAAGAGCAAGAATCCCTTCCTTGTATATCCCTCAGTGTTTGAACACAAGTGCTTAGTAAGTGTTTGTTATTAATGCACTGAATAAAAACCAAACTCTTTAGTCTGACTTTCATAATGCACTATGGATAAAAGTAAAATTTCTCAGTCAAGAATACAAGCGTCTCCATAATCTGGTCCTAATCTAGCTCCCCTATAGTCCCCAAACAAAACATTCCATTTTAACCAGAACAGTTTCTCCATGTTCCTGTAACATGCCACACTCAATTTTGCTTTGATGCCTATACTGTGTGCTCTCTCTGTTGTCTTCTCTCCCTGCTTTTTACTAATTCAAGCCCAAGTTCCATGAAACTTTCCTTCATCATTCTAGTCTACATAGATCCTTCTCTTCTTCCAAACCAGTAATGTTTGCTTGTTTTTCTACATGTTCTCAGAACGGTGATGTTCTTAAGTCCTATGTGAGTTAGACTTGTTACTTACTTGCAACTTTTAAGAAGAATTTATTAAGCACTTACTTAACACAGTGTCCCTGTGCTAAGAGCTAGGATAGTCTTTATAACATCTAGAAATGTGCTATAAATGTCCACAGCAGGCACTCAAATGTTTGTTGAATGCATGAAAACTAATATTAAGACTTCTCTCCAAGATTCTCTTTCGTTTTATTGCTACTGTTCAAAAGTTCAAATCTGTTCTCTCTGTCCACATACGGTATCATACCCTTACCTTGGAGTGTTCTGCCCAAAGGAATGTAAATTTTGATCCTTGAAGCTTTTTATTTTTCTTAAGGACCGCCTTAAAGCCAAATCACTCTGGCTCTCATAGGTTGGCCAACAACAGGTCCCAGGCCAAGCCCTATTTGGTCATTGTTTGGGCCCTGATTGGCTCAGAGTAAATGTAAATAGCAACTGTTTCTGTTTTGGTCAGAAACCTTGAGGGTCTTTCCTTCCCAGATTTTTTTTTAACTAGGTAAAGAAGTCATTCTCTGCCTCATTTCTTACCTAGTCTTAATCACTGAATAGGTATTGCCTCAGTCAAACTGAGATCTGTCAAAGACCTTAGCTTATAAAAGCCAAGGTCTCCCACCGTATCCAGGGCCATCTCCAGTCGTCCTGTCCTACATCTCACCACTGGACCCAGATGGCTCAGGAGGAAGGAGTGAGACTAGTGACTTTGCACAGCCCTCCCTCACTTCAATCCAATTTGCTTGTATATCACAGCATCACCTTCCTGACATCACGGTCCTCTTCAAGAATGAAGGACTAATGACAACAACAACATTCAAAAGAAAGCATGAACTTGACAAAAATAATACAATTAATTTTCTTCAAGGAAAAAAGAAATTAGTGTCAACTACTTTACAACTTAACATCTGTACATATTTAGAACAGCACATGGCCATACCTGTTTTTCCAAGACAGTTGTCCTCTCATTCTTAGCATGCTTTATCATGTCTCTCATGTATTCCAATTGTTTTTCTAAAAGATTACATTTGCTTTCTGCAGCTAATAACTGGGACGTCAGTTCTAAAGAGAACAAAAGAAAAACTGGGTATTAGCCCACTTATTTTGATGAAATTCATATATTAGTAATGAAACTGTAGTTCCTATCATCCTAAATACTAAGAAGGTCCCCAGTGCTACTAGAAAGCTACTTCCAAATTACCTCAGGTCATCAGCTGCCGTCTCATCAATCCTACGCTGCAATAAGGTGTCAACAGTTTAACAATACAATTTTAGCATCCTAAATCCTTGATAAACAAAATATACCTGGTTCATTATAATTTCAGAATACCTATATAAAACGAGAACAGCAATAACTGTTCTGCAGAATTTTGTCAAGACCTTTAAAACAAGCCCTTGGAATAACTTTCTAATTATGACCTGTGATGTTCCTTACACATCTTTGTAGTCAAACAAACCTTGATTGTGTCTTGACTCTTCATTCCTTGAGTTCTCCCTTTCTTGTATTTGTTCGTCCAGCACTTTCTTGTATTCACTTGTTTCTCTAGACAAGGTTTTCACACTTTCTTCTGCTTGAATCCGTTCAAGTTCTAAACGCCGAATCTTCTCTTGAAGATTCTTCAGTGCAGAAAATATGGCTGCCAAATCAAAACATTTTGTCATTAGAAGACGTTGATACATATATTTGAGATGTTAGTTCTTTGTGAGCAATGAACTCTTAGAAATATGTCTGATGTGTATTAAATAGAATATTCTTTGGGCTCAGTGATCTCTCAGCGCTACTTTCAACTTCTACACATCAAGTGTCATATGGTATCTACTAATAGTGCTAATGGTCACACAATGAGCACTAACCAGTACCAAAAAACTACCCCCAAAAGAAAACACTGAAGCAGGGGCTAGCAGCTACTAACTGATGTTGTATTAGACATTCTGATATAAAATTTCAGCAAAGGAAGTGAAAACTGTGAGTTATTTTTCTCTCAGATTATACAAAGTTCCCACAGAATATCCACCACATTCTTCCTTTCAAAGGTTCCACTTGCACACACTGCCACCTCTCTTCAATGACATCTTCCCTAAGCATCCCAAATCAGAAATGATTAGTGAAGCAGCTTAAGGCACAGGGTAGAGATAAAGAGCACAATAGTGTCCTGCTAAACATGCATTTATGAAACCTGATGTCAGATCTTAGCTCTGTCATTTAGTATGTAAGTACAGACAGTTCTCACTTTACGTAAGTAGACCGTTTCACAGACCTCTATGTAATTTTTATGTAAAGCAAATTTGCCCACTTATGTGGGGAGGGGAGGGAGGGAGAGAAGAAGGAAGGAAGCTGCATGCCTATGGAGAGAGGGAGCTGGCACATGGTTCAAGGACATATGGGGGCCATGGCCAGTCATGTAAGGGTCGCCTGGCTGGAACTGAAAGAACATGTCAGGAGAGGAAGTATGGAGGGATGACATGGACATAGAGAGAGGATGGGCAACATGCAGGGGCCAGGGCCAGATATGAGGAACCTGAGAACAAATGGCCAGAAGACAGACATATATAGGGGCCAGACATGCAGGTGGGTGGGCACAGCAGGACAAAGGTCTCCTTTCTTGGCACTGGAGGTGTCAGGTCAAGCCCTCAATCTAGGACCCAGTAACAATGTTCTCTCTGTGTGTCTGGGTAGTGTGAATTTATGTAAATTGAGAAGTGTCTATATAACTGCAGGCTAGTCACTTGACCTTTTGGGGATTAATTTCCTTTAACTGTAGAATAAGGGGAACAGCCCACATAATTTCTGACATGCTCTCAACTCTAGTCATGATGATGATCCATGATGACTCTCTTTAGGGCTTAGTTCACTCTACTTATATTGCAACCTACCTACCTCATAACTAATTATGTAAAACATCTGTGTACATCTTATCAGCTCCATTTTTATTCAACTTTGTATTTGGCATGGTACCTTATAGGCATTAACTCCTGAGTGAATGAAAAAAAGATCTATTTTGGGAAGTAGAAAAGTCTTGTCCTTTAACATAGCATGGGAAGTACTGGATTTGGAATCAAGAGAACCTCACTCAAATCTTGGCTCAGTTATTTATTAGCTGTGTGGCAATAAGAAATTCACAATCTCTTGAGGCCTCTGAAGATCCTTGTCTGTAACATGAAAAGGTTGTATTACGCAGCCTATATGGCATCTTTTTCTAGCTCTAAATTTATGATTCTATGATCCTGAAAAGAATTATAGCTTACACAACTTCTTTTCTGTCTAAAGTGGGCACTCAACACTTCGTTGATTGTAAGAAAGTGTTTCCTTGCTGTCTTTCATATCTTTTTAATAATGGTATCCATCTTACCATCTTGCACAAAGCAGTATGAACAGCTGTCATTAAAAGGACTGGTTCCATAATTTATTATTTTGAGAAGTGGAGATATTTAAGCAGTGTGTTCCTTAATTAGGTTACAAATTTGGTTTTTCAATAAATCCTACTGAAGAATTTAGTAGTTTTACATAAACCAGATATTTTCTAACGTGTAAAACAAGGAAGCTAGCATATCTTATTGTTGTAGCAATCAACGGTCAAGTTCTACAAATTACAAGAGCAGCAGGCAAGCAGAACTGCTAATACAACTGTCTGACTGTAGGTGCAAATCCTATTTTTGATGAAATGGATAGCATATTCAAAGAATTTCCGTCTCTGTGCAGTAGAGCCAAGGAGACAGGGACTTGCTTGAGCTCTCCCAAATTCCCCTCCAAATAATTTTAAATGCCTCAAAACAAGTTCTCGAGTGGCAGAACCCACAAAAGAGAAGGGTGAAACAATTTTTCAGTCCAAGACAACTTAGAAAGTCAGCTGGAAAGGGCTGTCTCACTGGGGTGAGAGTAGACTACAGTCCAATGCAGGTAACACCCCAGCAAGCCAGCAGCAAATGGCATCTAAGTGAGCAGCAGCAGAACTTGCATATTGCAAGCAACCAGAAAGAAATAATTCAAGTACCATAGAGCCACAGTCAAGACTGCTTAGAATACGATATTGTGGAGGGCAAAGGAGCAAGGATCATAATCAAGAATCACCTACTCAGCAAAACTGAGTATAATACTTCAGGTGAAAAAAAATGGACATTAATGAAATAGAGGATTTTGAAGCATCCCTGATGAAAAGAACTGAGCTGAACAGAAAATCTGACTTTCAAATACAAGACTCAAGAGAAGCACAAAAAGATACACAGGAAAGAGAAATCATAAGGGATTCAATAAGGTTAGACTGCTTGTATTATTACATAGAAAGATGATAACTATAATTTCCTGAAGAACTTTAATCATTATTAGGGAAGTTAGAAGGAGGTGCAAGTTGACTATGATGGGGTGATATTAAAAAATAAAATTATGGGATGAGAAAGAGTAATGCACTGGGAGAAAGGGAAAGGAAGAGGGAGAATGGGATAAATTATTTCACATAAAAAGAGGCATGAGCTTTTATACAGGAGGCGAAAATGGAGAAGGGGGAAGACTTGAACCCTGTTCTCACTGGAATTGTCTCAAAGAAGGAATAACATATGCCCTCAGCATAGTACTCTAGAGACTTCTCTTTAAAGTCAAAGGCCTTCAAGGGCTTATTTCTGAATTTTGTATTCCTAAATTAGAGTATAAAACAGAATAGTCAGCACTCCCTTACTACTATCACAAATTTCAAGACAGTATCATTAATACCTTCTTCTCTTACAGTCTTCTTCCACTTTGCTAATCATTTCCCCTGGTTATATTCAGTTCTACCACAGTAGTTCTGCTGATAATTACTCTATTTCCTAAGAATCTAAAATATATTAGCTGCTTTAGTCACAATTACTATTACATCTGCCTTGTCAGTTTTGTGATATGTATCAAGAACTTGCCATTCATTTCCTTCAACTGGCGCCTAAGTATATTCTCACTATGATTTTACCTATTTCTCCTCCCTCCAATCTTTAAGCCAAGTTTATCATGTTTTCCTCCTCAGATTTGTGGATTTTCACACAGGTGGATATCCTCCTGATGTGCAGCACTACTTCACTGACCCTTCCTATACGATTTGTTACTGTTTTGAATCTTTATTATTATACGTCAGTCAAGAGTCACAACTCAAGTCTCTATGAGGTCAAATTTGTCTTACCACATTAAGACTGATAAATTGCTTTATTATCCATTTCTATCCATCCTTACATATAGACATTTGAGGGCATGAGTATAATTTTTAAGTAGCTTTGCAGCATGATAAACACATTCTTTCTAACCTTAGATAAAGTGACTTTCCTTCATTCCTGTATCTTATGCTATTGCCTAGAAGGCCAATCCTATTTTCTAATACCATCTTCTTAGTGAGTTGTTCACTTCTCATTCTTTTCTAAAGTACCTACCTTTAGCCATTGAAAAATATCGCCTAGTCCTCTCCATCCCTTGGTTTTCTGCCAATATTTCCCAGGGATTTTTTTCTAAGTTCCTTTTGATATTATAGCTTATTCTTAAACAAATTACCTTTAGGTAGCAGTCATCAGGTTTACAAGTTTGTGAAAATACTCTGCCACAACTAGAATGTATGCCAGGGGAAGCCAGTACATCTTCTAATTGTCCAGATCAGACAGACACATGGTAGCCCCATATATCTCAGCATGATGAAGTCTATGATTACAGCATCCTTCTTCCAAAAGTCAGTAATGTCCTTATTCTTTATGCCATCTGTAGATTCCTCCTTATATTTTGTGGAATATGTGAAGCTATTTCTTCCTCAGAACATCTGGTCACAGATGAGAAGAGCTTAGTACTATATCTATATCTATACATATGTATGTATGTATATATAAAATATATATCCTTGTACCTATTAGGTAACTAAGGTCTTATCATCTCTAAACTTCTAAGATTCATTCTTTTCCTTTATAAGTGCTCATAGTCCTCCATTTAATAAGTTCTAGAATTTTGCAAGGTATCAAAAGGTCAAGTTCACTAGCAGATTCTAAAGTCACAATGTCCTTAAAAAGGAGGAAGGAGAATATTTGCCAATCACTAGTCTTCCCACATCTTGTTCTCTGTCCAGTCAATAATCACTGACTGAGTAAGTACTACTATATGCCAGGCACTGTGCTAAGTGCTAGATACACAGAGAAAGGCAAAAAAAATTCCCTCCTCTCAAGGAACTCACAGTCTTATGGGGGAGATAATATTAAATAACTATGTAGCTACAAGATACAGGCAAGATAAACCAGAGATAATCACAGAGGAAAAGCACTAGCATTAAAGGAGATCAGAAAAAGATTCTTGCAAAAGGTGAGATTTTAGCTGGGACCTGAAGGAAGCCAGGGAGGCCAGGAGATTGTGATGAGGAGGAGGATCATTCTAGGCAATGGAGCACAACCAGCGGAAATTCACAAGTTCAGGAGATAAGAACGTTTTGTACTAGGAATAACTAGTTGTCTGGTGCCACTGGATCATACAAAATGTCTGGGGGTTGGGAGTAGGGAATAAGGACTGGGTAAAAAAGGAGGAGGTCAGACATATTATAGAGGGGCTTTGAAAACAAAACAGAGGATTTGATATTTGTCCCCGCAGGTAACAGGGAGTTAGGAGAGTTTATGGAATAGGAGGGGAGGAGAGGGACGTGACATGGTC